TCATAGATTTATAGATGTTAGGGTCGGAAGGGACCTCAATAGATCATCAAGTCCGACCCTGCATAGGCAGGAAAGATGAAGAAGTTCTTCCTAATGTCCAGTCTAAATCTGCTCTCTGCTAGCTTGTGGCCATTATTTCTTGTAACCCCCGGGGGTGCCTTGGTGAATAAAACCTCACCAATTCCCTTCTGTGCCCCCATGATGAACTTATAGGCAGCCACAAGGTCGCCTCTCAACCTTCTCTTGTGGAGGCTGAATAGGTCCAGTTTCTCTAGTTTCTCCTCGTAGGGCTTGGTCTGCAAACCCTTAACCATACAAGTGGCCCTTCTCTGGACTCTCTCCAGGTTATCCGCATCCCTCTTGAAGTGTGGCGCCCAGAATTGCATGCAGCACTCCAACTGCGGTCTGACCAGCGCCCGATAGAGAGGGAGTATCACCTCCTTGGATCTATTCGTCATGCATCTGCTGATGCACGATAAAGTGCCATTGGCTTTTCTGATGGCTTCGTCACACTGCTGACTCATGTTCATCTTGGAGTCCACTAGGACTCCAAGGTCCCTTTCCAATTCCATGCCACCCAGCAGGTCATTCCCTAGGCTGTAGGTGCAGCACTTTGCATTTCTCCTTGTTGAATAATAATCTCAGCATGCAGGGCTGGGTCAGGGCAGTACCAGGCCTCAAGGCCCAATCTTGGTGTGGGGAGATGGGAGGGAGTAGATCTGGGCCCCAGGAGCCCAATCCTGGCATGCAGAGGCAGGAGGGAGCAGTGCTGGAGTCCAATCCTGGCATGCAGGGGTGGGAAGGGGTGATGCCAAGTCTCCAGTGCTCAATCCCAATATAAGGGTGGGAGTGGGCAGTGCCAGGATCCTGGGCCATAATCCTGATGTAAAAGGGTAGGAGGGATAGTACTAGGCCCCCAGGGTCCAATTTTAGGATTGGGGACAGGAGGAGGTGATAATTGGCCCCCAGGGCCCAATCTTCGCAGGAGAAAGCAGTGCCAGGTTCCTGAGGGCCAAATTATGTCATGGCATTTCTATCCAACCCACGGGTCAGCCCCAGGCCATTCTTCTGGATCACAGGGCCAAAAGGTTGAACACCACTGGTCTACATTATAAAATCATCACCAGTGCTGGCATGTTCCCTTGGTTCAACTTGTACAGAAATAAATATGGAATGCAATGTGGGAGAATCAAAAATAAGGAATGTGTCTGAAAATAATTCCTTCCACAGCTTCATTTTCATTAGCTTTCATTTCTGATGTAAATTGTTTTCAGTAATACAAGTGACAAAATTGTAAACAGGTATAAATGATAGTTAATGAAGGGACCAAAGTGAGATATGTCACAAGGGATGTTTAACTGGTATAAACAAGGTTGTTGGCAGTTTCATTTGAGATGGTAAGAGTTGGATGCTGACTGATGCTCTCACCTTTCTAGATGTCTATATCTGGAACACTGCTGAAAGAGACAGATAGGTGCTCTTTTGTGGATAAATAACTTGTCCGTAGTTGCTCATTAAGAGCATTATTTAGATTCTAAATTCATATTTAGATTGAAAACAATGGTGTGTATTTACTTTCTTTGTACTTAGGTCATTCAATCCAAGCGTATCAAAACACTTAAATGTTAATGGATGAATAAGAGCAGGGAAGGAATCATATATTCATTTTATGGGGCTGAAACTTGGGAATGAAGCACTGAGAAATTAAGTTATTTACCCAGGAATTAAAAATGAGAAGAAAACCAGATGATCTCAACACTGACATATGATCTAGCCACAAAACTATCATTTCCCTTTTAATATTTAATTTGTATTTTAAATCCGTCTTGGTGGCCCGGACAGGATTATGCTATATAAAACTACTGTTGTGTCTTATTCCACAAATATTTTGTTATCGTTTAGTCCTATTAAAGTATTGAAATAAATATGCCCCTTGTTCTCCCTCCCAGACAATTTCAAACTGAATATATTTCCCATGTGTGTACAATACAGCTATTGAACCTTTTAGTCTTTTAAAAATTGGAAAATAATGAAGTTATCTCTCAAGACAGGGGATTAGAGATATAGTACATGGAAAAGAACAGCATATTATTTATTGAGTTCTTCTGTCCTTTACCAATTCACTTCTCTATATTTTGCAAAAGATTCTTAAGGGACCAACTTTATATTCTAATTGAACTGATGCAGTACTCTTTGAACCTGATCACCTTAGTTAAATCAGGGAAATAAAATCAATGTCATTACTGAAAGGCTAGAAAGAAAATGAATTCCAGTCATTTTCTCTGCACTTCCTTTATTTCTTTTCATATTGAACCTGAAAGAGCTTCCTAATTGGTACTGATTCATCAGTCCATAGAACTGAGTATGTCAGAATGAAAGTTAAAGGATTGTTGCTGTTAAATACTCAAAGTAGAATGTGGGGTTTTTCCATAAAGTATTGAATTTTGCAGACTTCAATTGTGTGCATTTAGAAGGGAAAACCTAGTGCAACATAATATAGATTGTAATTTTCATCCCTAATTTACATTGGATGAACTCATCAAATGAAGAGGTTTCTAAACTGCGTTATGGTTTGTTTTCTTTTGCCACTAACACTGATCCTTGCTTTTTCAATATGTGCATAAATTGCAATTCCATAGATGTAGCTTTTGACTCATAAATTAGGCAGTAACAATGACTTCCATTTCTAGAGTATGTAATACAGTTTGTTAAGTAGGAATAAAATCAAGGTGATCTAGTCTCTGTGTGGGTTTCTTTTTGTGTTACAAAGAAGGAGACAAAGATCATCATGTTTCCCTTGATGCAGCACTGCCATGCACCCCCTTCTACCTGTGCAGTGAAGGCAACAGGTTTGTTTGCTTTCTTGCTATTTTTCTTTTTGTGCATATAATAGTAGTTTTTAAGGGCCCAAATGAAGGACTAGTTCAGTAGTGCTCATGGGTGACTGGTGCCTCCTGAGTTGGAGAAACACTTGCCCCCACCCCAACTGGATCCCGCAGGCCAGGAGGAGGGGGGGTCCCCTGCGGCCAATCCCGCATTGCCACTGGTGGTGCTCAAGCTATTGGCCCCGCAGGTGAGATAAGTGGTACAGGGCAGTTTCACTGGCAGGATGGAGCCCCACATACCAGGATTGTGCTTGGAAACCTGCCACCACCCTTGCCTGGCCATGCATGTTAGGATTTGGCCCTAGATGCTGTAAAACTAACCTAAAACTGTGTTGATGTTTCCTTTTTTTTTCCCAAAGGCAATGGAAAATTATTAATCAAATGATGCTTTTTCACAGCTAAATTTAACATGTTTATTGTCCTTAATATGAATTTTTGCAAGTACATTACTACTAACATCCCATCCCATAAGAAAAATACAAAAGACAGAAATCTAGGTCCAATTGCCAGCATCTTAGTGATGAAGAATTGCTCAGGCTTGCAGAGGTGAAGTTGGAAATAGGATTGTTTTAATAAACCCATTTTTTGTTCCTCTATATTTTGGAGTATAACATTTGGGGTGGCTTCAAATTGGCAGGATTTTTTGAAAGTAAAGGAAATTTTATGATGAAATATTGTCTGAAACTAATGCTTTAGCAATTGTAGACATTGGCCAGTATGATGAGATCTGCTTGTCTAAAATTAACATGCCAAATGCTGAGAGATAACTAGGTATCTGCCAATCCTATTGAAATGCTAATATAAGTCCATTTTTGTTTATGTATTTATTTTTAAATAGAAAAACATTAAATGTTATTTTTCTGTAGTGCATAAGCATAAACAAAAATAGTGGGAGAATATCATGGAAAATAAAATTTTATGGAAGATCCAAATATCAAAATGAATGGGTGGATACAAACATTTTACACTGCAACCTTGCATTTTTCCTGGTATTTATATTTCCTTCCCATGGTATAAAAAAAACTAAAAGTTTTTACTGATTTAACTTTTACAATCTCTGTTTATTGAAAGGAAGCTGTTTCAGTTGAAAATGAGAGAGAGCTATCCACTACTTATCCCTTTATTTTTATTTAATGAATGAAGTTTTGTGATATGTACCAGTTCTTGAAATATTCCTATAATTTTTCTTAATGGGAAAGAATCTCTTCATTCCTTTTTTTTTTTTCTTTCAATACATTACCATTTATTTCTTTGGTCAATTCAGTAATAAAAGAAAACTGTACGTCATATTATTTTATCATTCATCACAATTATTGCCTTTTAAGTAATAAAGCAGGGAAGCCTGAGAGAGGAGCTTTTATTTAGTGTATAAGAGGTAGCTAATTATTTGCACCTGATGAAATTCACATGGTATAAGATGTTCAGTTTCACATATTATAAGTGCACCTAGGATGACTCTCTCTTAGTGGGCCAGTATTAAACAAATCAGGGATCAAGATAATTGTCCAGAAATTTGTCCAAATGTAAGTTTTATATTGCTTTTCCAGTTGGGGATTTGGCACTGAATGAGAAACTTCAAGTGCAAATATTTTCCCAGTGACTCCCCTTGGACTACCTTTTCTTATGTGCATAATTAAAGTTTCAGTGACTCAGGTTGTAAATGCAGGAAGCAGCTGATTTCCCCAGAAAGCATCTTGGCTTTTATTACAGAAACATAATAACAAAAGAAAACAGACATAATTATTCCAAGCCTTAGATTCCAGCTTTAAAGAACTTTCTTTTAAAGGTTGAAATTCAACAGTTTATTTCCAGTCCCCTGGCTTCCAATTCCCATACCCTTCCAATCCTTTTCCTTTTTCATTTCTCACAACTAAGTTTATATTATATCTTTGAATTGTCCTGTTTTGCACATTAAATTCCTTCAAGTTTCTGGTACTCCAAGGAAACTATATTAGTTTACAATTTATAAGGATTAAAACCTTGCCCTTGTTAACAGGTTCTCTGTTTTGATTGTGCTATGACAACCTAACAGGTATGGGTGAAGGCTAATATGGAGAAGAAATATTTCTGTATATAGGATTGTAAGAAAAAGAAATTCTTTGTCTAATTTTGCAGGCCCCCACCAGTGAGTGAAAATGCACCTAAAGGAACTGTGGTTGTTGCTGTAACTGCTGCTGCCTTGAATCAGACAATTATATATTCAATTGTTTCAGGAAATGCAGATGGTAAGTTCTAATATATCAATGAAGTGGCATGCTTTGTGGCATATTTTTTTAAATATTTTCATAAAGTAATAATTGTAAATAAAAGAGCTAAAATAAATGCTACCTTAATAAGCCCAAGTAACTACAACTAGTCCTGCTCCTATTTCCCTACTTTTATAAACCTGATGAATTCTGCATGCAGAATAGAATTACTTTCAGTTTGGCTGAGAAAGGTGGAGCAGAATTTGCTTTTAAATTTTAAAAAAGGCTTTAAAAAAACTGTGTGGCTGTGGTATTGGAGAGAAGGTTGTTTCATGAATCAGGAACTGAATAAAAGGGAGGAAGTAAAGTTCAGAGCCAAACTGTTGCTTTTCAAGATGGAGGGAAGTCAGAAGTGGAGTCTCAAAGGTATCTGTGCTGGGCCCAATATTGTCCAACCTGGAAATGGGGAGTGCATAATGAAATCTCCAGGTTTGCAGGTGTACAAAATTGTTCTGGGTATTCTAGTTGCAAACTGATAGAGAGTAGCTGCAGAAAGATCTCACCAAGTTATGTGAGTGGGCAAATAAATAAAAGATGAACTTCAAGTGCAAGGTAATGCACCTGGGGAAAAATAACCTCAACTATATGTTGGGTTCTGAACCAGCTGTTATGACTCAGGAAAGAGACCTTGGAGTCATTGTAGCTAGTTCTCTAAAAATATCAGCTCAGTGTTCAGTGGCAACCAAAAAAAGTCAATGAAATATTGGGCATCATTAAAAAAGGAATAGAAAACAAAAAAGAGAACATCATCATGGCATAATACAAATCTTTGCATCTCTCAAAAAGGATGTAGTAGAATTAGAAAAGATACAGAGAAGGGCATAAAAAAATTATCAGAGGTATTGAACAGTTGCCATACCAGGAGAAACTAAGAAGTCTAGGACTCTTCAGTTTGGAAAAAAGGCTGAAAGGGGATATGATAGAGGTCTATAAAAGCCTGAAGGGTTTGGCCAAGGTACTATTGTTCACCAAGTCCCTGAATACTAGAACTAGGGAGCACCCACTGAAATTAGTAGGAGGCTGGTTTAAAACTAACAAAATTAAGTACTTTTTTGTGCAATGCATAGTTAATTTATGGTCTTCATTGCCATAGGAGGTGGTAGAAGTAGATGGTTACAGCCAGGTTCAAAAAGGGACTAGACAAATTCATGGATGATAGCTTTATTAATATCTGTTGGACAGACCATAGCATAGTAATAAAAGCCTTGTTGGAGGCAAGTGAAACATCAAGTAGACTTTTGCTATTCAAATTTAGAATATTAATTTATTTTAAATATGACAGTACAGAGGCACATTCCAGGAGGAGCAGCGGTGAAATAGCACCTCAAGTAGGCAGAATTTTTCTGGAGCTCTTACATGTTCAGGAAAAGTGCATAGTTTTTAGGCCTGTGTGAAGCTTCGGTCCCTGATTTGATTCAGTGGAGATTCAGCCCGATTCAATGGCTGAATCTCCAAATCCAAATTGAATCAGAGGACCCTTTAATCTCTCTGAATTGATTCAGAACCTCTGAATCGATTCGGAGAGATTCGGTGATTTGGATGTAAATAAAGCTTTAAATGTCTTTTCTACATACCTCTAGGTAGCAGGGGCTCTGAATGCTGTGGTGCTGGGGCAGATGCAGCATCCCACAGAAGCACTGGGGGCTCCCCAGCCCGCTCAGCAGCAGACTCGGAAGTGGACCAGAAGCACTTCCGGTCCACTTCCTGCTCCATCGGGGAGCACAGGGGGGCCCCTTCTGGTACTTCTGGTCCACTTCCAGGTTCACTGCCGAGCATGCTGGAGAACCCCCCATGCTCCTGTGGGACACTGCATCCACCCCAGCACTGCAGTGATCATGAGCCACGCTGCTACCTCAAGGTATGTAGAAAAAAACTTTTAAAGCTGTGCCTGTGCCCAAATTACTGATTCTCTGAATCAGCATCAAATCTTCAGATTTGGATTCAGCCAAATTGAATCAGGGATAGTAACCTGAATCAACAGATCGAATCACTGTCCCCCAGTTCAGTCCAAATCCAAATCCAAATCGAATAGGGCCTGTTTCACACAGTCCTAATAGTTTTCTACCTCCAAGGGACTGCTTCTCCTGCACTGTCATCCTTGCTCTGCATATTAGTACAGAGTAACCCTTTTCTCTATGGCATCATGGAATAAACAGAATTTGTACTCTAAGGAGGTCAGGGATATAGGTTATAGCTATGTTGGTCTAAAGGCAAAACCAGTCAGAACTCTTGTGCTAGAGGCAATATCTTTTATTAGATCAACTAGATAGTTGTGAAAATATTTTTATATTTGCAAGCTTTCAGGCTCACACACCTTTCCTCAGGCAATGGAGAATGCAAAGGTTGTAAAATTTCTCCCAAGTAGAAAATAAACTTCATATTGCACAGGAGAACTGGAGGATGGTATCTGTTCTCTTGGGTGGAAAAGTTCAATTTATGGAAATTAGGCTTGAATAAAAGTTAGAGCAGTCTATTTACCTCAGAGGTGTCTGATGGCAAGCAGGACATTGAATTTTGCTTCTTTTCTTGTTATGTTATTTCATATTGCACAGGAGAAGTGTATGGAATGGTTCTCCTGGGTAGAGAAGTTTAGTTGTGGAAAAGCTGCTCTGAGAGTATGTAAATTTAGTTCAAACAAAGGGCTGGAGCAGGTTATTTGTTATGAGGTCTCAGGATATTTAATTTTGCTTCTTTCTTGTAAAACTGTGAAGTTTTACACAAGAGGGCATGCATTGTAACCTTGTGAGGCTATTTACAGCCACCTGTGAAAGAGGTTGGCTCCTTGTTTGCTCCTGCACAGATGAGTAAAGCAGCTCACAGTCTGGTAGCGGAGAGTTTGGGGATTTCTTTATTAAGAGAATAGTTTTCTGAAAAAAATAATTCCCTAAGTTTTAAATGGGATATTCACTTTGTATTTGTGTATTGGTTTATCTCACAACACGGGAATAGAAACTCACTTTATTTTAGAATCCTTTTTTCTTTAATCTGGCTTATTCAGTTACCAAAATGTGACTTTTATCGCCAATTACTTTTCCTAAATAAACAAATAAATCAACCAAAATGTTGGTAAACTATTGAAAACTACATCAAGTGCAGCCTTGCCCATCAGCACAGTAGTGATTATAATTTTTTGATAATAATTATTATAGATATTGCAGTACAATATAGGATAATATATATTTTTTTACCACAGTCAAGTTTTTAATGAAAATGCTAATGGGGGATTTACATGCCTCTAAAGGAGTTCAGTGCCATTTTCTGCAAAATAATAAATAGTGTCTTTGAGGAATAACATATTCCTGGCTTTGGTATGCCATTGTTTGCCAGCCCAGTGCCAAAACCTGTACACACTTGATCAACTTCACCCTGATGAAATATTAGGAAATGGTAGGCTTGCACAAGTTAATTGCACCAGAGCATCTTATAGAAAAATCTTGTTGGGACTAAAGTCAATTGCAGTTTCATTTAGATGATGCTGAACTTCACTTATTTTTATTGATAACCATGGCTGAAATCAGTTCTTCAATAGATTATAATAATGGTTAAATGCTATTTTAAGATATTAGAGCGTTCAGTATGAATAAAAAAAGAATGAGACATCTGCCTCCTGTGAGTCCACAAATTATTTATAACAATTAGCTTTATAGGTTGCATTGCTGGTGCCACGCTACTGAATGAAAATTCTGGTATCTTTTTAATATATTACAGACCCTGCCATGCTGAAATCACAGACATGTAGGCTGCATTTAAATAAAGTCTTTGTTTAAAGGAAAGAGTACACTTTTAGTCTCATGGTTATCTGACACCAACCCTGAAAATGACAAGTAAATTTATACCAGAGATTTTGGGAAGAGAGTGGATTATTGCTACAGGAGTGGGTGATTTATTTAGATGGCTTTTGCAAGTTTTCCCAAAGTTTGCTACTCCAGAACCCAAGTCCAGTGTTTATGTTCAGCCATTATGCCCCTTTGAAGCCAAAAAGATGGTGAAAGCATGTATTCCTCAGTTCCTATACTACTAAACAGAAATAAATAATGTCATTGCAAGAAAGTAAATTTAACCATAACTATTTTGATTAAAAATATAGAGGTGTTAGAAAGTTATATGCTTTTTTTTTTCTGCTGGATTTCAGATGTGTTTGATATGAATGAAAGAACAGGTGAGATTACTGTTAAAAAGACTCTTGACTATGAATCTGTGAAAAGCTATGAACTTCGAGTCCAAGCTGACTCACTAGAAGTCGTTCGTTCGAACCTACGTGTACCTTCCAAAAGTAAGTTGCATTATTTTATGGCTTTCCTATTTTATTGTTTGTAAATATCTTTTGAATATAAATATTATATATGACTATATTTTACAGGATATTAGATTAATTCTAATGCATTCTAACTAGTTTCATGATGAGCTACTTGGAGTATGATATAAAAAATTGTATCAAATATATCATAGCCTATACATTTATGATACCTCAGTCATGTCCTCTCTTAGGACAGAGATGTAATGTGGTGTAGAATTAAGCCATCACTAATTATGTCCTCAATGCCCAATTATAACTCCTATTGATGCTTCTGGGAGTTACAGTTTTATACCATCAGGAAGATGAATCGTCAGGAATGTATTCATGTTCTAATTGTGATTATTGTTTCTCTTTTTACTTTAAACATGAGATAGCCTAAAAAAAGGCACAATTTATTTTTGTCAATAAATTATACCACCCAAATACATACATTTAACTTTTCTGCTGGGTTGATTTTTATTAAAGTAGGGATCGATGCGTTCTAAAGCTCTCAATGGTCCTATGAAACTTCAGATTGAAAGCTTTTTTTATTAAATTAGTCAAGAAACATAGTTTTAATACAAGTAAGCAGGTTTTCACTCTCAAAGTATGAATCGCTAAAACTTCAAACACTAAGCATACCTGGATTATTGGGTATAAATAACACCTCCCCCCCCCCCCCCAAAGAAAGTATTCGTGGAATAAGACCCACCACCCCCCCCCCCCCAAAGGAACATTTCACGGCAACATTTTTGTGTAACATCTATTTTGAATAAAACCTAAGATCATCTCCTCAATATACTTAGTGTTTCAGCTGAGTTTTAAGGAAAATCTAAAAAATAAAAGACACGCAAAGAATTCTCAATTGATTATTATGAAATCTAAAGTTACAAGGGACCTCAATAGTGCAATCCGTTGCAAAGCCACAGAATTTACTGTTCTTAAATTTTCCAAAACAGATAACTCTCCAGTGGCTCTTTGGAAACCTCCAAAGAGCTTTATAATAAAAGAATTGCATAAGAGAAGTTATATGTTAACTTGTACATTTGATCAAGTGAAGCTTATGGTTGTTTAAATTATTAAATTCTGCTTACTACATCACAATTGCTTAAACTTAATGGGCAAAGGTAATAAAATAAGGTACTAGACTTCTCATTACGTTTCTTCTTTAGAAGTAATTTTTGCTTTATACAGGTTTCATTTTTCTTTAGAGCTTAGAAAATTATCCATCTTTCCCCCGTCCATTCTACATTCTGCAGTTGATTTAAATGAAAAGGTTTTGCAAAAGCATGTGTGGCTTCCAGTTTAATTCAGAATGAAGCTGTAGTAAAAAAAGATCAATTGATTCAGAATGCCATATAATACTGGTAGTCTAATGTGACACTGTCACTGGTAGGTGTTATAAGGTTTTGGCCCCCTTTTGGTTGGTGCCTTGCCCCACAGCAACATCAGGGTGAAATCCAGTTTTAGTGCCACCTAGATGGTTCGGACACTGCTCCTTCTCACCTGCCACATCTTTGATGTTTGTTGTTGGGGAGACAGTTCCCTGTAGGTGGCCTGCAGGGGTCTCAGCCCTGGGCTAGCTTTGTGGGGCTCCAAACCTCCCCTTTATCCCACCCTTACCTTATCCTTGGCCTGGGTAGATGCTGCTCCCCTCAGGTATTCTCCTGTATGGTTCTACCTCATCCACACTGCCCGCCTCGAAAGGGTTGGGTCTTCCTGGCCGTCAGTCTTCCCGGGTCCATCCCTCATCTTTGGGTTAGCTTTCCCTCTCCTGGGTAATTAAACCTGCCCCGACTGGGGCTAGATTAACTGACAAAAACGTAACTGAAAAATGACTAGTGTCTGCTGACGAATACCTGAGATTCTGTCTCTCTGGGCCCTCAGTCCCTTGGGGAGACTCATCCATCCCTTTTATCCTAGTAGGCAATTGCCCTGTGCCCAGCCTCTGCTGTCTCTTCTGGCGTGACCTCCCTGGGGCCTGGATGACCTGTGGTCCAGTTGTCCTGGTCCCTCCAGCTGGCGTCATGTACTTCCCCCTCCAGGGGCTCATGATCCCCCATGCTCTGCTTGCTGCAGGGCTGCCTAGGGATGCCTAAGGTCCTGAGGGGCTGTCCCCAGCCATGGCATCTGAGCTCCTGGTCAGAGCCCCTCTGTTCTGCAGCATCTCTTGAGGCTGGTGCTCCTCAGTAGGGCTCCCTTGCCCCTGTCAGCCCCTGAGGCTGCTCTCAGCCTCCCCTGTCTTGGTCCTCTGGCATGTGCCTGGCTCCTTCCCCTGGCATCCAGGGTTGGAGCCTACTGGCTCCACAGCCAGCGTTTCACGGCTGGGATTCTGCTCCCCACTCCTCAGTGCCTCCTCAGCTGAGTCCCTGGCTGCCTTTTGAGCAGCCCACGCTTCTCAGGGGCCATGCCCTGTCACAGGCCAGCTGGGCACTGTGTCTGTTTCAGTTTTATCACAGGCCAACTGGGCTATTTAATTCAGTTTTGGATTGAGGAGGCAAAAATTAGGAGTGAAGTAAAGGCAAATTTATTATACCTTACATACATACAACAGTTAACAGAAAGATAAATGTGATAAGCAGATAATGCAGTATTAAAAAGCTAATAGTAAATAATAATAACAGATAATAACAACAGATAGATAGATCAACTCTGTCACAGGCCAACTGGGCACTGTGAGGGTATTAGCCACTGGGCTGTTTAAAACAACAGACAGACAGACATGGGTTGGCAACTTATCGATAGTCCCTCAATGCCAGGTATGCGTCAAGTGATTCCAGCGAAGTCAGGCATCCCTCATCAACACTGTCAGAGGGGTTACCGGAGAAGGTCCCTTGATCAGGATCCGATCCTCACTCACACCAGGAGTCCAGGATCCGGGCATGGAACAGAAATGCCCGTTCTGTTCCCTCCTTCCTGCTGGTTAGCTGATCACCTGATACATGCACTTTTTAATACCTAATCTTATGCTAATCTGTTGGCTTTAGAGCCACTCACAATGTTACCCTGTAGCTGTTACCCTATGGGATTGAAAGGTGTAAAAAATTATCATAAAAGTTTACTACCCAAACTCGGGTTTGTCCAATAAGCAAATTATGATGTAGCACCTTTAGGTTTGAAATTGACAATGCTCCGCCTAAGCCCCAACCCCTTTTAAGTTTCTTTGAATATGCTTTCTTGGGACATGCTTTCCTGGAATGTGTTGGGTGTGCCAGACAATAGGATCCAGTTTTTTTATCTTTAAAGCTGAACCCTAAGCAGAAACCGTTAGGTCAGCTAATCTCACAACTACAGCTTTACCTATGGGGCCCAGTCAGTTCCACGAACAGTTAATTTATCATTTTGGTTAAACTTATGACAGACAAGTTACATTTGCGGTTTACAAACTTACAAGCTTTATATTAACTAATATTACCTGTTTAGGCAAAATACCAAATGACTCTAAGAAGCACATATTTATTGCTTATTAATCCCTCTGGTTCTGGCCATCACAATGCCCCCAGTGCTTGCTGATACACAGGCTCAGGCAGCTGCAGAACTGCCAAGCCTGCGTCGGCATTTCCTTCTGGCTGCCGCTCATCCCGGTTCCTAAGGTAAGTAATGAGGCATGTCAGGCAAGGGTTTGGGACACATTGGGGGAACTCTTGCCTCCCCTCTCACAAACACACATATATATATATGCATATGGACAATGAAACATATACATAAACCATTTTTATTAGGTAGCTTTCTGTCTTATGAGACACTGGGCATGTCTACACATGCCCCTAGGGCACCATTGTTACTGTGCTCTCATTTAGTACTTCCTTTAGGAAGTACTTAAGCCTGAAGTTGATACTTCCTTTAGAAAAGTACTAAATGTCAGCAGAGTAACAGCCATTACTGTGCTATGCTGGTGGCACACAGTTATTTTTAGCTGCTACGTCTCCATAGTGGCATGCTATAGCAAGGAAACGTGTCACTATGGTGATGTAGCTATGGCATCATGGTTAGTGCCTGCCAATGCTATGTTGCTGTAGTGCATTGCTATGGTAACATAGCAACTCTGTAGACACACCCACTGTAAAAAAGGGTCCAGGTTTTCTTCCACCTATTAAATGTATGTACTGTTGCACTCTGCTTGAGGCCCTGAAAAAGTTAATACAAAAGATGGGTTGTTTGTCTTCCTCTTAGATTTTCTGTGACTCAGTTTTAAGGGTGGTCTTTTGTTATAAGTGGTCTTTTGTTATAAATGTAATACTATAAATGCATTCATAGATTTTCAGGATTTTGAACAGGATGGAATAGAAATGTACTTAGGCACCTAGCTCCATTTATATACCCAAGTAGTGGAAAAAGATTTGCCATGAAAGATACTGGATTTGATTCTCCATTCCCTTGCACTTTGGTGGTAATTTCAATTAGTATAAAGTAACTACAGAGTGGGAATACACTGGTACAAAATCAAAGTGAACACAGTTTGTTTTTTAGAACAGTGTTTTTCATTCTTTTTTCATTTGTCAACCTCTTAAAAATGTCAACTGGAGGTGAGGGCTCCTTGGAATTGCAAGTGTGGGTATTCACATACTTATGATCTTTCATGGGCCCCTTAGAGATAGTCTGTGGATCCCCAGGTGGGTCTGTGGACCACACATTGAAAACCACTCTTCTATAAAAGTAGATAGATGCATATGGTACAGTGTGGCAAGGAATCAGGAGAGAGGAACCCTGCAAACTTTGTTGAAGACCACTTGCATAAAACTAAAGATTTGATTGCTCTCAAAGATAGATCTCTGTATAATTCAAACTGTTGTCTATGAAGTGCATATTAGCACCAAGGAAAAGATGTGTTCCCATTGTGTGGGTTTGGTTCAGTTATAGTGTCATGGAAGTTGTTCTGTTGTCTTTATTTCTGGGTGTTCTAAGGGTTAATGTATATGTTACACTTGGATCATACTAAGGGCACTTAAAACATGAGTATCCATATGTTAAAGTTGTCACAACCCAGTGATTTTGGT